TGTACCACCATGCCCGGCCTCCATGGATAGGCAGTAGCAAGCTCCACCCTCTGATCTTCAGGCACATTTTATTTGCACAAACAAGATACCACCATAGGTATGTTTGTAGTTTTGTAAATTACTCCACATAGTATTTATCAGTTAGAGAGAAGAAAGTGGTAATTTCATAGATCATAGCTGACAGCAGTCTGGAAGATGTTACCTCACAATAGGATCAGTGGACACCATGCTGCACCCCATGTGATGCAGGTCAGTCAGGACTTGCACAGAGAAACCCTGTCTCCTGAAAACCAAAGAGCAAGCAAACAAAATGTTTATGTGTCTTTCTTGCCCAAATTGTGTGAGGTCATCATGAAGAGACACCAGTCATATCAGTTATTTCAAAACATAAAGTTATGCATAGTAAAATTTGAATAAATGTTATAACTAAAGGCAGTTCAGGATTGTTTCATAATGGTATCAGAGAAACTTTAAATAAGGTTTGTTATATATAGTATTGAAGAGAGAAATACAAATGGAAAATAAAGAAGCATGATATCTGAAAACTTGTAGTTAGAAAAAGTAGTACAACAGAAAAAAAATAGAAGTTTTCCAGTTTTAATGAAAACTAATCAAATTAAGAAACCCAAATAACCTAGTTTGTATAACTAAACAAAAAAGCATCTGTTCCATTGCAGTGAAGCCACAGAGTTCAAAGACAAAGAGATTAAACACATAACAGAAAATTATTGAGTGAAATTAGGGGCTGGGTGTGATGAAAACCTTGGGTTTAATTCCTAGCATCACACATAGAATAGTGACTGATGGATGGCTTACTTCTCAGCAGCAGAGGAAGCCCGCAGAAGAACAGTCTTCATTGTAGTGAAACAAAATATTCACCAGCTTAAAATTCTCACCCAACAAAGGTAAAACAAAGCTGTTTCCAGCGAAACAAGAACATAGTACAAAGTTATTTCAACAAATAACAGTGATACCATAATGGGAGAGGACTGCAGTGTGGGAAAAAATATATAGGAAACAGGAAATAATTTAGGGTGGGCTGTGTAGTAAGTTTAAGGCCAGCCTGGCAATTAAGCAGGACCCTACCTCAAAATGAAAATTTTCTTAAAAGGCTTTAATAGAGGTCAGGGCTAGAGCACTATCCTTGGAAAGACAATGTCCTAGGTTTAATTCCATGAAAAACAAAGAAATGCCAAAATTACAGTAATAATTAGCATATTACTGTGTGGGTTAGGCATAAGTGAGTTTTCTAAGAGTGCTGTTTTGTTTAAGAAAAGGATGTTTGTTTTTGTTCCTTTAAGAAGACATTTGAATTTATCCTGTTTTCAATGTCCTCATTAAGAGCAGATTTATTAACTTACAGAGAAATACAAAGTGTATGCAGCCAAAAAAATAACATAGATACAGTAGGTTTGCAGCTAGAAGAACAGTATAAGATTGTTTTTATGTTAATTTATTATATATGAATACATATTTATGTTATATTAAATTACATTTTCCTTTTTTTCTTTTACTCTTCTTTCATACATTATTGGTCACAGTTTCCTCTCGCTCCATTCCACCCACCACGTCCTCCTACGTCCCTTCTCCCCTTTATCTATTCCTCCATTTCCCTTAAAAAATAAAATAAATAAAAAACAAAATAGGCCTCCCAGGCATATCCTTTGAATTTGGCCTAACAAGTTAACTAAGACTAGGCAAAAGCCCTCATACCCAGGCTGGACTGGGTAGCCCATTAGGAGGAAAAGGGTCCTAGGCATAAGCAAAAGAGTAAGAGCCACCCCCCATTTCCCACTATTGAGAGTCCCACAAGAACACTAAGTAACACGGCCCTAAGTTATATGCAGAGGATCTAGATCAGATCCATTTAGGGTCTGTGTTTACCTCTTGAGTCTGAGTCCCTATAAGCCCTGCTTACTTGATTTTGTAGACCCTGTTCTCCTGGTTGTTCTCTACCCCTCTGGCCCCTACAATTCTATCCCCCCCCCCCCCTTCTGTGGTGTTCCCTTGACTCCTCCGAGTTTGGCTCCCACCTGCTCCCATCTAATGCACTAGGGCTTTCATAGTGGCTATACATGTTCGCACTCCCACCAGCAATGGGGAGTGTTGCCCTTGTTCCATATCCTCCCTAGCATGAGCTGTCACTTGTGTTTTTGATTTTATCCATTTAGATAGGTAGGTGTAAGATAGAATCTCAGGGTAGTTTTGATTTGCATTTCTCTGTGTTTCTCAGCCATCAGAGATTCCTTTGTTAAGAATTCTCTGTTTAGAGCTGTACCCCCATGTTTTAATTGGATTACTTAGTTTGTTGATGTTTTGTTTTGTGAGTTCTTTATATATTTCGGATATTAGCTCTTTGTTGTGTGTAGAGTTGGTGAAAATCTTTTCCTATTCTCTAGACTGGTGTTTTATCCCATTGATGGTGTTTTTTGGCCTTTTAGTTTAGAAGTTTTCAGTTTCATAAGGTCCCAGTTGCTTGGTGTTCATCTTAGTGTCTTTGCTATCATTGTTCTGTTGAGGAAGTTGTCTCCTTTGCCACTGAGTTCAAGGTTATCTCTCACTGTCTCTTTTGTCAGGTTCAGTTTTATGTTGGGGTCTTTGATCCAGGAACTTGTGTTTCATGCCAGGTGTTACAGATCAATTTGCATGTCAAATGCTGAAATCTAGGTAGATCAGCAACAATTGTTGGATACTTTCTTCCAATTTGTATTTCTTGAGTTTGTGGCTATTGTGCAGAATGTTGATTCCCTGATTTCTTTCTCAATCCATTTGTCATTTGTGTGTAGGAGGGCTACTGAATTTTTCTTTTTAATTAATCCTCTATCTAGCCACTTTACTAAAGATGTTTATCAGCCATAGGACTTCCCTGATATAATTTTGGGGGTTCTCTTATGTATACTATCGAATCTGCAACTAATGGTATTTTAGCTTCTTCCTTTCCAATTTGTGGCCCCTTGTTCTCCTTCAGTTGTCTCATTGCTCCGGCTAAAACTTCAGTTACTGTATTGAATAGATATGGAGAGAATGGAGAGCCTTGTCTTGTTCCTGGTTTAAGTGGAATGCCTTGACTAAGTTTCTCTCCATTTCATTTGATGTTGCCTATTGGCTTGCTGTAAATTGCTTTTATTATGTTTAGGTATGTCTCTTTTATCCCTGACATCTCCAACTTTCATCATGAAAGGGTGTTGGATTTTTGTCACAGGCTTTTTCAGCATCTAATGAGTTGATCATGTGGATTTTTTTCTTTCAGTTTGTGCATATGGTAGGTTTCAGTGACTGATTTTTATATGTTGAACCATCCCTGCATTTCTGGGATGAAGCCTAGTTATCATGGTAGATGATCTTTTTTATTTGTTCTTAGATTCAGTTTGTAAGTATTTTATTGAGTATTTTTGCATTGATATTCATGAGGGAAGTTGGTCTGAAATTATCTTTGAATCTTTCTGTAGTTTGTGTATCAAGGTGACTGTGTCCTCATAAAATAAATTTGGCAATTTGTGTAATAACTTGAGAAGTATTTGTGTTAGCTCTTCTTTGAAAGTCTGGTAGAATTCTGCATTAAAACTATCTGGCCCTGGTGTTTTTTTATGGTTGGGAAACTTTTAATGACTGCTTCTGTTTCTTTGGGGGTTATAGGTCTATTTAAATTGTGTATTTGATCGTGAATTGGCTTTTGGTAATTGGTATCTATAAAGTGTCCACTCTTTTTAGATTTTCAAATTTTGTGGAGCACAGGTTTTGAAAGTATGACCAAATGATTGTTTTGATTTTCTTGGTGTCTGTTGTTATGGTCTATTTTTTGTTTCTGATTTTGTTAATTTGGATATTCTCTTTTTACTTAGGTTGGGTAAAAGTTTGTCTTGTTGATTTTTTCTTCAAGAACTTTTTTGCTTCATTGATTCTTTGTATTTTATCTTTGTTTCTATTTTATTGATTTCAGCCATCAATTTGATTATTTCCTTCTATTTACTTCTATTTGCTTCTTTTTGTTTTAGAGTTTTTACATTTACTGGTATGAGGTCTCTCCAATTTCCTTATGTAGGCGCTTATGCTATGAAATTCCCTCTTAGTACCACTTTCACTAAGTTCCATAGGACTGGGTATGTTGTACATTCATTTTTATTGAATTCTAGGAAGTTTTAATTTCATATTTCTTTCTTGACTCAGCATTCATTTACTAGATACTTGTTCATTTTCCATGAGTTTGTAGGCTTTCTGTTGTTGAAATCAATTTTAATCTGGTATTTCACAGAATGCAGGGGGCTATTTCAATTTTCTTTCTATTTAGACTTGCTTTGTGACCTAGAATTTTGTAGGCCTCGGGTTGAGTAGTGTTTCCTCAGTATTTGTGTGCTAGGATATGGTGATGAGGAGAGAGGGTGCTTGGGTTGGGGGGATAGTTTGGATAGGCACCTAGGTAGTGTTGGTGTTCTGGGGGCAGGGGTCTTGCCACTTAGTTCTGAGTGCCATCATGACTCTGGTAAAGCACAGTGATTCCGTTTGAATTGTGGGCTGGTGTAAGGTGATGGGGACAGGGGGAGTTGTTGGTAGACTGAGTGGGCTCCAAGTAAGTGGTGGTGGTCTGCAAGAATGGGTCGGGAGATCTTACCTGGGTCCTGCGTGCTGGTGTGGCCTCTGGCAAACTAGGGGGTTGTGAGCCTGGATATGGTGATGAGGAGCAGTGGGAAGTTGGTAGTATGCTGAGCGGGCTCTTAGGGAGTGTTGGAGGTTTGTGTGTGTGTGATGGGAGGGGTTACTTGGGGTTCTAGTTTTATTAATAGTTCCCTGTGAGGATTACCAGATGATACATTTAAAAGATAAACTTTTAGAATGTTCTATTGGGTGTTAACAAAGATACCTGTCAAATAATAAAACACATCAGGGTTCATAACTGATGATTGGTTTTGTGTGTGTTTCATTATGAACAGGAAAAACTTTAAGTCAAAGCTCATTAGAATAGTGTCTTAATTTAACTGAATTATTTTCTTTTGTTTCCATAGTCATTTTGGAATTGGTTGAATAAACTTCTTAAAAGACTTCTTGACAAATCAAGTGACCAAAGAAGACCTTCTGTTTCTCTAACCCAGGCCAAGGATCCAATAGGCTTTAGTTGGTGGATTAGTGTTCATGTAGCATCATTGTACCATATTGATCGCCATGGTGTATCAGATGAACTGGTAAGAATTATATTTGTTTTTGTTTTTAATTTTTGTATACTATCAGTACACTATCTTTAAAGACAAATGTAAAGCAATGAGTAGTAAATAAAAAGTCATGGGGAAACTTTTTTTTCTATGTTCAATGTTTTTGTAAACATCTACTAATCTTGTGAAGAGTTATAAAGTTCACGTTTTTATTATTTGATAAGTAGAAAGGAATTTGTAGAAGACTTGGTCTTTCCAGTCTTGGCTCTCTGCTCATAAGTCTTGTCTGGACTTTGAGTAAATTGGACAAGATTTTCTGATCCTCTGTTTCCTCGTGGGAAATCATTGATTTGCATTACTCCAAAGTTCTCTTCTAGTTGTAAATTCTTCAAGAGTGTCAAAGGGCACACATATATATGTCTCCCTGAAATGAATCAATTGGTTTTGTTTGTAATAGAATGAAAGTCTCTTTTGGGGCTGGAGATAACAGCTCAGTGGTTAAGAAGACATACCGCTTTCGCAAAGGATCTGAGTTTCGTTCACTGCATCCACACTGGGAGGGTCACAGCTACTGTAACTTTAGCTCTGAAGGATCTGCTATACTCTTTGAGCTGAGCCTGCTGCAGACAGCTGCAGTGGTGCTCAAACCCACACAACAGTTTTCTTTTGAAAGTGTTTCTTTTGCATAACAGTTCTTTCGAGGTGCTTTTCCTTAAATTTTTCTTTTGCAGTTATCAAATATACTTCAAACAAGAAGACAGGTTTTTATCTATTGAATTGTTGTTTAGTTGGAAACATTCTTTTATGGTATTACTTAAAATTTCTTGTGACTTAACCACTTAGTAAATATACTTATTTGAAACCCTATTTGATGTTTTTAATTTTCATGTGTGTATAATTTATTCCATTCTCAGAAAACAACAGAATTATACCAACATATCAGTTCCTTGAAATTCAGACTTCTGAGGCAGGGGGTTTGACACAAATTCAAGATTAGCCTGGGTCAGCCTGGGTTATGGGGTAAAGTCTTGTCTCAAAATCCAGCCCTTCAAACTAAAACAGGCAGGTTTCTAGGCCTCAACTCTGTAGATCCTTATTTAGTAATCTGATTTGGGGTTTGTGGATCTTTTTTTTTGTTGTTGTTGTTGTTTTGTTTTTCGAGACAGGGTTTCTCTGTATTGTTTTGGAGGCTGTCCTGGAACTCGCTCTGTAGAGTGAGCTGGCCTCAAACTCATAAAGATCCACCTGCCTCTGCCTCCCTCCCAAGTGCTGGGATTAAAGGTGTGCGCCACCAACGTCCGGTGCTATGGGGTTTGTGAATCTTTATGATTAAAATATTCCTTGGTTTCAGCCTCTGGAGGTATGGGAAATCATTCTCTATGCTTCTTGTCTTAGGATTTCTATTGCTGTGAAGAGGCACCATGACCACAGAAATTCTTATAAAGGAAAGCGTTTAATTAGGTGGCTTACAGTTTAGAGGTTCAGTCCATTGTCATCATGGTGGGACTGGCAGCCTGCAGCCAGATGTGGTACTGGGCAAGGAGCTAATAATTCTATGTCTTTGATCCACAGGTAGTAGGAAGTGAAGTGTCTCACTGGGTGTAGCTTAAGCAGAGGAGACCTCACAGCCCACCCCGATAGTGACACACTTCTTCTGAAAGGCCACTCTATTCTGACAAGGCCACATCTCGTAATAGTGCTACTCCTAATGAACTTATGGAGCCAATTAATTCAAACTGCCACACTTAGGAAATGTGTTCCTTGATAGAGTTTGTTCTTTGAAACATTGAACAACTTGATCTCTGAGATGTCATCTATGGTATCTGCATGTTAGGACTGACACTATTGAAGCAGTAGAAAGACCTCTGGAAGTCCTCCATATATCGCCTTTAATAACAAAAGCTATCTAAGGAAATCTCAAGATTAACGTAGTATTGTAAGAAGTTCATGTGTACCTCAGTTTGGCAATGTAAGCTGCCGTTTTTTTTTTTCTTTTGAAAGTAAGTAAAGTGAATTGACATGGATGAACTGCATTGCATGTCCTTTGGTTCTGTTCATGAGAGTTTGCTTTGCTGATACATAATATATGCTCAAATTTTAGCCGTTGTCATAATTACTCTTATTTATTAAGTACTTTTGTGAAATAGTATGCTGATGTTTAACATCATTTACTTACTAGAATATTAGAGCAACATTAAGAGAATGAAAAGATTGCCTATAATTCTGAAGTCCCAACCTAAGCATTTTTATTTCTCTTCCTGTTCGACGTAGTTCCTCTAAGAACACATTCTTTATTTTAATCAGTGTATATAAATGTAGTACTTTGCAAAGACCTTCTGAGTTGTATTAGGTGTTATAATAAATGTTGATAAGAGGATCTCTATGAAATAACATTGTACTTACTTTGCTTCAGGGGATATGCTTTTAGATTACTAATATTTGTTTGAACTGTAGTAACACTGTAGTGGGTGCTATATTTCAGTAGTGGTTGATACTTACCTCTAGATAGTCCCTGTGTTGTTCTGTCATTGCTGCTACCATGCACTGGTGGTTTATTCTGAGAATTCTGGAGATTATTGCTTTTATTAATGTGGAGTCAAGATAGTGAATGAGTGTGTCTTTTAATTTTGTTCCTCTGTGACTTTCTTTTGCCAGAATACTTAAAAATTTTGTCTGCAATCATATTTTTTTATGTGGAAGGATTTTTAAAGGAAACTGCCATATTTGAAAATAGAAGCTTTTCAGTGATTAAAAATAATTGCAATATATATTTATGTATGTACATATAAAATAAAAGTCACTTCTAGATGTGTATTCTCAGAGTTTCCAATATTTATGAACTTTGTTATGGATTTTAAAGAAATAATTTGGCATTTTTATTAGGTCTGGAAATGCATATTGCATTTACAGCATATGTAATATTCCAATTATTATTAACTTTTTAGTGTGTTAAAAAGTAAGAGAGAAGATGATATATCCATTTTACAGATAAACAAGTGAGGTACATAGTGATTAAGGGTCACTTTGTTTTGTATTTTGTCACTTAGATAAACTCGACTCTTTTTTTTTTTAAGAGTTCTCCGAAGGATTTACTCTTACAAGTAGATCTTTGGTAGCATAGCCATGTGCTCTAGTTTGCCATAGTTAATTCTTTTTATTCTGGCTGACATTTAATCTGATTTTCAATTTTTATTTCCCAAGTTACCTCATTAGTAAATTATATGGTCATTCTTATCTATTACTATAAAGGTATATTGGTTGATTTCTTCAGAGCAATTATAAACAGATACTAATTTGTATCTGATATATATTTAAATCATAAGTTTGAAAATTGTCTTAATGCTTTTAAGCCCCTTATGATACATTGATGTTACCAGCTATCCTGTAGAAAGTGGTTACATAGTAGGGTGCTCTTTTCCACTGAAGAATAATGTGTGGGGAATGATTAGTAATAATCCATATTTTTCACCAGAGAAATATTGTGAACAAAATTTGTGATGTTTCAGCTTTTACCAAAGTTTGATGTGAAATCTTTGCATTTTAAAAAAGTTTCAGATATGATTATTTTTTGTTTTAAAAGTTTCTGTAATTTGCATAATTAATTTGAAAATTAGCCAATATCTTTTTATAAGGTTTTTAGAAAAAATATGATATCTCACTTAGGAGAAACTCTAGCTTTTCATTCATTTCTGTTTAGTGTTCTCTCAATTTAGATGTGAGTTTGTTATTCTCTTACAATCCCAGTCTATTTTACAACCAAACTTAGTTTGAAGATGTGAATTACTTTTGGGTATTGGAAAGGGTCAGTTGTGACAGTATGCTTTGTACCAAGAACATGAGGTAATCACCAGGTATGCTTCTTTTGAAGCATTTGAAATGGCATCCAAATGAAAGCTATGAAATGTAATCTTAAAATGAGAGTTGTGCATGCCAAAATGTAGTCTGCTGGAGGTGGAAAGTGAGTTTGTTTCTGGTGGAGTTGTTATCTATAAAGCTTAAATGGGTGCCTTGCTTTTTAATCTTGGAATAAAAAATGGAAAACATAGTCCCAGGTTGATGACCAGTCCTTGCCTTGGCTTTTAGAAATTAGATATGTGGGCATTATTATGGTGAAATAATATGTAGGAACAATGCTCTATGCTTAAATTAGCTTGTGTAAGTAAATTATGTGCTTTTGGTACTATAGTCTCATGTTGGATTTGGGCAAGGTAGTTACCATTTTTTTTAGAAGGAACTTTTCTTTTTTGATTATTGTCACATGTGTACATGCACATAAATATATATAAGACTTTCTGAGTGCTGAGTCCACTTAATGATGGTTGTATGCATGTGCTTCAAGAACTGACCCCTTGCTGTTTGATAACAAACAGGGGCTCATCCCTGAGGAACACCAACTCTCCCTCCTAACAGTCACCAGTTGCTTGTAGCCTTTATCTAGGGGTGGATCCTTGTAAGATTTTTCTCATTCACCTTCTTCTTTTGATGCATAGTATAATTTATTTAGATTATAGCCATGGTGTAGTCCACATTGTTGAAATTCTTTGGGGAAGAATTACACTACTCCGACATTCTTGTGATTTAAATGGCTTGATAAGACAATTGAGACATATTCATTAGCATGATCCCGTTGTAAAACAAAAATCTGAATTCTGTCAATTGTGTCCTGTCCCTGATTACTTGACCCTAGTGGTGACATTTTCTTCTCTTCATAGTGGTCTATTAGCTGTAAGATGAATAAAGCCTTCCCTCCCTGTAGGTAGTTTTCCAGTCCCTACAGCCTGAGGCTTATATTAATTGTAAATGCTCACGCTTTTTGCTAACTAGCTTTTACATTTTAAGTTAACCCATATCCCTTATGTATGCTCTGCCACGTGGTGGTACCTTTATTAACATGGCACCTTCATCTCCAGCTCCCTCTGCATCTGGCTGACAACTCCTCGGACTCTGTCCTCCCCAGGAACTTCTGTGTCTGGCTGTCTGGCTGTCTGGCTGTCCTGCCTATACTTCTGCCTGGCTACTGGCCTGTAATCAATGAGAACAATATATATTTACAATGTACAGAAGGATTATTCCACAGCATCTCCCCAAGCCGCTTTTAGTCATGGTGTTACCTAGCAATAAAAAGCAAACGAGGACAGGTAAGAAGTACATAGGGCAGAAAACAGGTGGAATACCAAATGAGGAGTTTTCATACATTCTTTCATGAGGAATCAGGGCATGCTAGTCTTCTGGCATCAGTACATGACAGTAGTCAGAGTGTATTCTTGTCCAATGTTTGCATAGTTTCTTGGACCTCTGTTATGTAGGCATGACCTGCTAATGCTCAAGTAGTTTGATCTCAGTCTCAAGGCTAGCTGACCCAAAGTCACTGTGTCTGTAGAGCTTGATCAAATCCTGTCCTGAGACTCCATGGTTATGACCAGCCTCTGCTCTGTCATATCCTCAAACTAGCATGATAGAGATAGGTCTCCAATCCAAGGTGTTCCTTTCAGGCTTTGATATTCTAATGGTTCAGAGATGATTATTTTTTCCAGTAATACCTAAGTCATTACTTCAGTAATGGTTATATAACAAAAAAAGGTAGTGAAATAAACAATACATATCTCACTCAGTAAGAGTTGTTGTTTTTTGTTTTGTTTTGTTTTTAAGGATGTTATCTAGGTGGTTCCTGGCTCAGGATCCTCTGTGAAGATTTAGTCAAGTTGTCACTTAGAGATTGTTCCAGAAGCTTTACTTGGGACTAAAAGATGGCATTTGGGCAGAATATTTTAGTTTCCCATCCTGTGGGCTTCAGGCCTGCTCACAATAGGGGTGTTTTTCCTTGGTTAAATTAACAAGAGAGTGCTGTCAAGATGGAAGCTTCATGGAAGTGACACTGTTTCATTAGGACTGGTAGTCTGTTGATGACCCTCCTCTTTATGGTGGGGGAAGGGACTATGTAAATGATTCGGACCAAGAGGGAGAGACCAGAACAGGCTATGTTAGTTGCTGATTACTGCTGTTCCTGTGTTCCTTTTAGTTAGGAAGTACTGATTCAGTGCAGCTCGCATCTTATGTGAGTATTTTCCAGTCTTTTAAAATCACAAGTAGTGAGCATACCTTTTATTCATTAGTGTGTATAACCATATGAAGGTCTGAAAGGAGTCCATACCTTGATTGTTGATAGATTGAGACCTATCTAGCCCTGGCTGTCCTGGAACTCTTGTAGACCACCCTGGCCTTCAACTGCCTCCTGACTGCTGGGATCAAAGGTTTATACCACAAAGGTCTGTGTCTTTGCTCTTCAGGACTCTGGCTTTGCTTTTTGAAGTTTAAATGACTTCTCACACTTTATCTGCATTGGAAACTACTTGCTTGCTTTCGGAAGTGCTTTCATTGCTTCTGGTATTTACCAGTGTCCAGGAATCTCAATCTTTAAGAACTGAGTATGCTGAGAGACTATCCTCCAGGCTTCCTACTTAGAAAAGTGAGGTTTTTGAGAAGCTGTTAAAAAGTTCACTATAGCTTTCTTCCTTACTGTATAGAGCCATGAATAGAATTGGAATTGCCAGGTAGATGACTATTTGTTAAATGAAAACATTATGAAGTTTTCTTTATATATAAAACTATACAAAAGCTTTAATTTAATAAGATAGACTATCTTCGGATATTACAAATAAAGGAAAATCTCATGTAAGGAGGAGAATAGGGCCTGGTGGTGGTGGTGGCACCACCTTTAATCCCAGCACTTGGGAGAAGGAAAGTGGATCTCTTGAGTTCTAGACCAGTCAGGTATACAGAGTGAGTTCCAGGACAGTCGAGGCTACATAGAGAAACCCTGTCTCTAAAAACGACAACAACAACAAAAAAAGGCAAGACTGGCATGTAACCTTAAGAAAAATATGTTATCATTATGTCATTTTTTCAGCTCAGTTATATGTAACAACAAATTAAGTATTTAAAATATAAACCTATGGAAGTACTACTTTGATAAAGTAAGGCCAGATATGGTTTCTATTGGATTACAATAATTTTAGATGTATTTCTTTAAGTATTTCAGCTGAGTTTTTACTGTAAGAAATTACAAAAGTTTCTTAACAGAGTTTCACAGTTGTACCGTAAATTTAAATATGTGCAAAATTAAGAGTAATAGTATCAATGCAGCCATATTTTCTCTTTTCAGAGACAGATGCAGTCAAACTGGAGCTTTATAGAAGAACTTTTGAAACAGTCCGTCACTGTTCAGGTATGCAGCTAAAGCAAGCATGTGACTTCTGCATTTTATAGTATAAATTTTACTTACAAAAATTAAGCAAACTTAAACTGATTTAAATAACAATTTATGACAGATCTGACATTTTTTGAAGGGTCAGCTCATAGCAATTCATATTAAATCCTTTAAAGATTTTTATTCTTAACACTGAATTTGTCAGTTAAAGGACAAAGATAATTATCTTAGTTGGTGACTTTGAAAGAATGTATTCAAAATAAGTGGGAGATGCTTCAGAGTTAGAAGCCATTCCTTGACTGTACGATAGCAAGCCAGGCGACATGATGAAGGAGATAGTCGGTGGCATTGGAAATGCAGCTCTATCCTCCTCACAGCAGGAAGGTGACTTGCCTTGCTGAGCAATTTGTCTTACAGGCTTGAATCCTATTCTCGCTGATAAGGTCCTCGTTTCTGAGCACTCATTTCATACCTTATCATTTTTCTTTCCGCAGAGCTGTTAATGTAGTGCTTCATGGCCCAGAGGTCAGACTTGACCTCCTTTAAAATACTTTTAAATATCCTGCTCATCGCATCTCTAAATGTGTTGTAGTTCTGTAAAGTTCCATAATGTAAGAAACCCTTTATGGGAGGTTATGGTGTAGAATATTTTTTTAATTTCAGAAATAAATTGCTTTTCTATTAATGAGGATTATTCAAAACTTGAAAAGGCATAAATAATAATATTAGAAGATGACTTTGTGTGCATATGCTTATAGAAGTGGGATATCTGACCATTAAGCCATCTCTTCAGACCAAAACGCTGACTATTTGAAAACTCTAAATGGCTGAAGTTACATATGCTGTCTGTATTAACTGTATGTGAACATAATGTTTCTAATTATCATAAGAACCTTACCAGTTATGAGCTAGATGTCTCGAATACCAGCATTTTCCCAGAAATCCTTTAACCATTGTAAAAGCTATTTTGTTTCATACATTTCTGTATAATTTTAATTATTTTTCTCTACTTTAAATATATTAATTTAGTAACATTTTACATATTTTTTTTAATTTCTGTAATACAGGAAATCAGGGAGTAGTCATGAAATATGAGCTAGATATTGCATTGGCCATTGTCATTTGTATCAGTTACTAATTCATTCTGTAATTTCATTTTTAGAGTTTCATATATGAATACTGTATTTATGTCATTCTGTCCTTTCAGAGGCTTCTCTACTTAATGACTCAGAGCTTTGTTCAAATTAAGCACAAGTCACTGCAGTGAAGTCTGAGTAGTGTTGCATTTCTAGTAATGGTTCCGACATCTGATGTAGTGATGTAGCAGTGACTATGCCTTTTGGGCGTGGTTACTGGTGTGGACGTGACTGATTAAAGGGAAAGGATTGGGGCTTGAGGCAGGACTTCATCCTTGGAGCAGGAATGTCTCGACAATCACTTGCTGATTTCTATGTAAGTTCTTCTACCAATAAAACACCATCGGTTATTCTACCGGATCTGGTTAATTCATTACTACCCACCTATATCTGAGCCAGAAGCTGGGAGCCTCAGTTTTCTAATTAAGTTCTAATTACTTCTGTGCTTGAAGTTCTCTTCCAGCCTTTTGTTTTGTTTTCTCTTGTATTTAATAATTGAAAAATTTTCATAAAACTATAAGAATTTACAGAGATTTTGAAGTCTTTATCATAGACTGTTTCTTGCATAAACACCCATATTGGTCAGGGACAGCAGAAAACAATTTGCAATTAATCTCCTTTCTGTAGAGATACATGCTTTTAATTAATACTTTACATATCCTACCCTCTTTGTGTGTTGACTCCCTGTAACTTAAGACTTTTTTTTTTGTCATTTAAGGATTAGACCCAAGGCCTTGCTAGCAAAGTGTACTCTCCTAGTATGCTAGATGCCCTTCCCTAACCTTGATTTTAAGTACATAGAGTATTTTTACACCATGACTAGCATTTTAATGATAGTAGTTAAAGTTGTTTTGGGCTGGAGAGATGGTTCAGTGGTTATCAGAGCACATGCTGTTCTTCCAGCTGACCTGGGTTCAATTCTCAGCACCCTCATGGCAGCTCACAACTTTGTGTAATTCCAAGATCTGACAGCCCCACACAAACATACATGCAAGCAGTACACCAAAGTACATAAAATAAAAAATAAATAAAAATCAAAAAATGAAAGATTTAAGGTATCTTTAAATACAGATTGCGTGACCAGCCATCTGTTTACCTGGCCTGGGCAAGTCCTGAGCAAACCAAAACGAATCTGTCACCTTGGAATTATTACTAATTCAAGACATTTTCTACATCAGGTTACGTCTTTCTAAGTCAAAGTAATATTGTTCTTGTTCTGTCCAGTTCCACAGCCACTTAAATACTCTCTCTGAGGCTAAATATTAATTAGAATTGTTTGACTAATGGCTCAGGCATATTACTGATTAGCTCTCGCAATTAAATTAACTCATTCTTACTATTGCCTGTATCACCACATGGCCATGGCTTACTGGTAATGCTCTAGTATTTTATCCCTTTCGCAGCTACATGGCATTCTCCTGACTCTGCCTTCCTTTTTTGCATCTTTGTTTGGGTTCCCAGCTAGCTAGCTATATTTTGTCTGGCCGTTGGCTGAAGCAGCATTATCCATCAACCAATAAAACCAATGCATATTCACAGCATCCCATATTACCTCCCTTTTTCTGTCTAATTAAAAAGGAAGGTTTTAACTTTAACATAATAAAATTATATATAACAAAACAATTATCAAGCACTAATTATAATGACAATAGTTAGTCAACTTGTATTTGGTAAAATTAAAGAAAATGCTCTATCATCTAGCCTATCTGTGAGTCTAAAGTTTTGAATCTAATTTATCTTTTATTATAAGTAAGGAAAACTATAAATATCTAGTCTTTAACTCCATCAAAAGCCCCGGAAGGATATAATATTACCTAAGCAAACTGGAAGTTCATCACAAGCAACTTTCAAAACTCTAGAAATGACACAGATATCTGGTGCCAGGACAGTCACCCCAAGTTTCTCTGCAGCATTGGGGCATCCATTTTCAGTCTACAGACCTAGAGTATCTGGCAGACTTCTCAGTAAGGAAATTTGAAGATATGCCTTGTACTTGAAAGGTTCAGGCATTGCACTGGCCTGCCCTGTTACCTAGCAGGATGCACTCAGGCAGCACTCTGGCCAGCCCAGAGTTCTGTGAGAACCACGCAGGTGTAAAGGACCCCTTTAAAGGACTGACCCTGCCTGTTTAAGCTCTCTTGCTCTTACTCTCTTTCCCTCTTACACTTTTACTGTCATCTTACTCTGTCTCTGTCTCTGTCTCTGTCTCTCTCTCTGTCTCTCTCTCTCTCTGTCTGTCTCTCTCTCTCTCTCTCTCTCTCTCTCTCTCTCTCTCTCTCTCTCTCTCTCTCTCTCTCTATCTCTCTCTCTCTATCTCTATCTACTTATCTATCTCTCTCTCTCTGCTCAGCACGGGCTGGTTATGTCTCACCTCCCTTTTCCCTCCCTGTCCACCAAAAAACTCCACGTGGGATCATTGAGTCGCGGTTTGTGTCTCCTTACTGGATAAACCTAAACATTTTAACAACAGTACTGACAAAGATTGTCAGTTGCTTTCTTCTATTTTCTGCAGAATGTCTGGCAGTTTCCTCTGTGAAACTGGAAGCCTGAAGGACCATTCTGTCTTGTCCGGGCAAATTCAGCAATCACTTTCCTGTGGGGTCCTCCATGTTCAGTTTATGCAGCATACAATCAAGCACTCCAGGCAAGAGCAGTTTCTTGCCCAAATAGCCAGTGTTGCCACATTGAAGGCAAATTCCATAACGAGTTCTTCATTGCCCATCATCCTCTTTGAAGTAATTGGTGCTGCCAGGAGCCGACTTGTCTGACTATTAAGAAAAGTCTTGCACTCTGTAGACCTTTGACGTTTTTGAAGATTGCCTGTCTATATGAAATATATTTTTGTATACCTAGAAAACTTAACCAACATGACTATAATTTTGGACAATATAGATGAGTATCTATTCTGTATTTCTTAATTATGCATTGCATTTTTTATTGAGCTGTATAGGTACAATACCTTAAGAGTAGAAATATACAGTAAAACAAAATTAAATTTGTATCAATAAGCAAAAATCAATGCCAGTGTCAAGTATGAAAGATTAATAGTTGTTTATTTTCCCATCATAAAATATACCCTTTATCCCATTACTTCTACATAATCCAGACTTTGTGTATTTTCCATCTTTACATGGCCCATTATAATTATTTATTACTCTATTTCTCCTTTAAGTACCTGAGTTTATTATCCTTAAACTATTTTTTCCTAATCTATGACTTAATCCTCTGTCCCCTCTCTCTGAAGCCAGTCCAGTCCTGTACATTTATCATACATACTGTGATCCGTTTAAAGATCTTTTTGTCTGAGTCTGTCCTTATTGCATATATGTAATTATTTTATAACCAGGAGAGTCTTACAATAATAAATGGGTTTGACTAGGTCTGACATGACTGCTGGCTCTGTCTTTGGCTTTCCAGCATGCCGTCTCTAAGAGCCGTGCCCCCCAACTCTGATTTGTGCCGCCACCTAGCACCTTGTAGCACACTGCTCATAAACATTTTTTGTCTGTTTGAGTAAAAGCTAAATCTGCCATGTAGCGTGCTGTACTGCCTGGAAATGCCTGTGTGTACCACAGGAGGAATCTGCCATGTTGTGTTCAAGCCTGAATGCAGCTGTATCTGTACACCATGGCCTGCATGAAAGATAGAAACATGAAGCTGTCTCTGTATATGTATTCCAGAACCTCCCACACCCCTTCAGCTTTCTCATGTCTTACATGGAAACTCTTAAGAGTCCCACATTGTCATGCCAGATGTAGTTAGAAGTTTTTCTCTGTCTCACCGGATCCCCCTTGCTGCTTATGAAATAATTGCTCAGAGGCTAATATTAAATTACAATTGTTTGGCCAGTGACTTAGACATGTTACTGGCTGGCTCTCTCAT